TATATTCATATCTATACATAATCGTAATTATCATTTATTTTTTTATTATTATCATTTACATTTTATATTATATTATATAATGTTATAGATGTCAAATATTGCTGACTGGCAGTCTATTCTACAATGGGGAAGATAATGCTGTTGGAAGTTGTCCCAACATATTTCAACTCTGCTAATGTTGCTTTCAAAACAGGGCTTAAACTTTTTGAAGTCCATTTTCTGTTTTGTGGTTAAAATTTTAGGACTGATGTTGCTATTGTTCAATGTTGCTATTGAAAAGTTTTTATATTTTTTTTTCTTTTTATAAGACTGTTTAAATATTTTAAAATATAGTTCTGGGTACAGGTTCAATAGTGTAAATATAATTATTGTATGGTATTGTCCTAAAGAGTTTATATGTAGTCGATAAATATAAACTATACTATAATTAAAATTTAAGTTAAATTTATTTATTTTGATAATAATTTAATGAGTAGATATAAGGCATATAGTGTCAGTAAATAAAAATAGATATAAGATACATAATATCATAAACAAAAAATAAATAAATGACTGGAAATGATAAATTCTGAAGTAGATCAATAGGAGAAGTATAGGAAACAATATAATTGCTTCGGGAGAAAACAAAGCAACCATATTAGATGGAAAGGCTAATTCGGGCACAAGTTTACTCTGATTCACAAAACTAAAAAAATAATTACCAACCTGTACTTCTAGAAGCTCGGATACTAATTATTTTATATTGCGACACCTTAAATTTGAGAATGAGATATGAGAAGGGAACAATAAAAAACTCACTCATAATCCAAATGTTTTTCCGTCGACAAATCACAGACGATATTATTTATGCGGAAACGAAATTTTACCATTAAAAATATTAAAATTGACGGGAAGGATTTAGTATATGCAACGAACATTAAATATCTTGGTGTCACTTTAGACCGCGCTCTTACATGGACACCCTATATAAAACAGCTTAGGGCTAACTGTCTACAGGCTTTAAATATCCTAAAAACGGTAAGCAATCACAACTGGGGAGCTGATAGAATCAGTATAATTCGATTATATAAGGCACTTCTGCTGAGCAAATTAGATTATGCGTGTGTAGTATATGGTTCCGCTAGCAAAAGGACACTTGAGATGTTGGATACGATCCAAAACATAGCACTTCGAGTAGCCACTGGTTCTTTTCGATAAAGCCCCATAGCGAGCCTTCAAGTCGAAACAGGTATAATGCCACTGGCTATACGAAGGAAAATTTTAGACTTGGCGTTCTATAAAAACAATCTAGATCCACTCACCCTTTAAAAAACACACTTGTTGTACCAAAAACCGTTCTCGTAAACCCACCAACTAAATTATCTTTAGCAGAAAGGTGCTCAATACACATTACGACTTTGATCTCGCACCTTTTCCTTCAATTCTAGAAGTACGGCAATTGCAAACAGAGCCCTGGCTGTTACCAATTCCAAAAATACATAAAGTAAAATGTAACAAGGCCCTTGGTTCAAAGTTAGGATTAGCAGAATTCACGGACTTCCAAATGAAACATTCCAATTTTGAATATCTTTTCACAGATGGGTCAAAAACTCAAGATGGAGTCGGTGCGGCCACTGTTTCTGATAATGTGGAAATGTTTTCATTACCCCCTTATTTCACTTCCTACCATGCAGAATTGTTTGCAATAAATCGTGTCGTTTGTAGTCTCAACTGCAATAAACAGCAAATTTATATTTGCACAGATTCGGAATCTAAGAGCTATTTAAAATTCTAACTAATTCATTAGTCACAGATATAGTCAGGCATATACAAACATTGGAGGGTGTAGGATGTAAAATACAATTTTTGTGGTTACCGGGTCACTCAGGTATTAGAGGTAATGAGCTAACCGATATCATGGCAAAACAAGCAATTACAGAAGGAACTCCAGTAGGGGATCCAGCCCTCTGTAGTATCAAATCGAGCGGACCTGCGGAAATAGAAGAGAAGAAATAATGCTGAGAACCCATGAGTACCTAATGACAAAGGGGATGCCCCTCAGTGTCTCTGCTGCGGGGTCAATTTAACAGTCAGTCAAATTTTGACTGGGTGTAATGCATATGAACCACAACGGAATGAAGTTGAATTGGAGAATGAAATAACCGAAATTTTGAAAAATACCACCAAATTGGCAAAAAAAAAACTGTTTAAATTTCTAGAAATAACGTACCTATACAACAAAATTTAAATTTTGCTGATTCTTTTTTTTTTTTTTTTGAAACACAAAATCTTAGCATATGCCGATGATATAGCTGTCCTCGGAAGTAATCAAGAGGATATTGAGAGACTCGCTCGGACGCTGTTAAAAGAAACAGAGCAAATCGGACTACAGGTCAATGTAGATAAAACAAAACACATGATAGTTAGCCGAAACATCCACCCAAATAACATGATCTGCGTGGACTCTAAGTCATTCCCGAAAGTAGACAGATTCAAAAACCTCGGCTGCACAGTAACCTCAATAAATGATCAACTAACAGAGATAGACCAGCGAATAACTAGTGCGAACAGATCTTTCTTCTCTCTTTCAAGGGTACTGAAATCCAGAAATATCTCCAGAAATCTAAAAATAAGGGTGTACACCGCCTTGATTAAGCCAGTTCTGCTGTACGGTTGTGAAACCCGGACTCTAACCTTCACATTAGAAGCCAGAATTGAGAGATTCAAAAGAAAAGTTCTATGTAGGATAGCAGGACCTACATGGGACCAAAACCTTGACATATGGAGGACAAGGAACAATAAAGAACTGCTGAAAGAAACAGGTGAGTCAATATCTCATGACATGAAGGCAAGGAGGTTAAAATGGGCGGGGCATGTAGCTCGTAGCAATCCATCAGGATGCCTTTACACAACAATGAATGCCAGAGTAGTAGGCAAGAAACCACGTGGGAGGCTAAAAACCAGATGGATAGATAGGATAAACAAAGATACGGCTGAGCTTCATGCAGCGAACTGGAAAGCAGTAGCCCAAGATAGGCAGAGGTGGAGAAGACTGGTTCAGGCGGCCAAAGATCTAAAAGGTCTGTAAAGCAACCAATTATCTTTCCTACAGTTCTTTATGGATGCGAAACTTGGCCGCTTACATTAAGGGATGAGCAGCGTCTTAAGGTTTTTGAAAATAAAGTATTGCGTAGAATATTCGGACCGAAGAAGGATGAGTTAACATGAGAGTTCAGACGGTTACACAACGCCGAATTGCGTGAGCTGTATCCGGGTAATATAATTGAGGTAATTTCATCGAGGCGAATCAAATGGGCTTGTAAAGTTGTTGGGCTTAGTAACGAGAGAATTCCTAAAAGGTTTATATTTGCTATGCCGAATGGTAAGCGTCCGAGGGGTAGACCGAAGCGAAGGTGGGAAGATTGCATTAAAGCCGATCTGAAGGGACTGGGTTTGGACGGCGAACGATGGAGGGAGGTGTGTAACAAGCGATTGGTGGTGTCGGCATCCAACCTTCGGGTTCGCTAAGCCTTATTATTATTATTATTATTGTCTAAATAAATCGTCCGGATAGCAGCAATTTTTCTAAATCCTGATGAGTAAATTAACATTTCAAAATATTATTATCGTTCATTAATTGTGTACATAATAGTGTGGTGGCGATCGATCGAATTTAAGTTTTCATTAACTGAAAGGAAATACACTTTAGGATCCCTTCTGTTGTTTAAAATACTTTTACAAATCTGCTCCGTAATAAAAGCAACAAGAAAGTAAATAAAGTATAAATATTATGTGATTAATTAAAATCTTCAAAATAGCTAGATTACCACCAAATTTATTTTACAAAATAATGCTCAAATTGAAGCATGATGACTCTTTAAAAAATAACTTAGCTACGTACACAACGTCAGAAACAAAATCAAGTACTTGGAATCTACATTTAACAATAGATTCGGGAAACTGACATTGAGCTACATGGGTCACTATTACTTCAACCGAATACCAGATCTGTTAAACGGGCCCAACACTAAGGGGACTAAAAAAGATATACATAATTGAATACTTTCTGATTTCTAAGTTTTAGTCACCTCTGATCCTTTGGACCAAATACTGTGATGTTTCTTTCACCTTACCTGTTTGTATTTCTTATCTTCTACTGGTCTCTCCAATTATTGATGTATCGTGATGTATAATCCTCTGATTAAATACCGTTATAAACTTTTATTCCTTCTAGTCAAGCTATTATTCTGATTTTATTCATATGCTTCTTTTCATTTTATTATTATCTTATAAATTATTAAGCCGTATATTCATATCTATACATAATCGTAATTATCATTTATTTTTTTATTATTATCATTTACATTTTATATTATATTATATAATGTTATAGATGTCAAATATTGCGATTTAGTATTTAATATATATTATATTATATTATACTTATGTTATAAATTATTATATCATTAAACTATAATGTATTCTTATAATATGTTAGAATTGTTTTATATTCAAATTGTTAGAAAAACAAAATGTAAGCATTTAAAAATTATTTACTTATTATTATTGGCACCGACCAATAGATGTTGACATCTGGTAGGATCAAATTGTAATTAATGGTTAGTAAATTATTAACTCTAAACTGTAAAATATGAAGTGTAGGATCATGATTAAGGATACTACTGAATCAGATTTATATCACATATTTTCTATATATATATTCTATCACAACCATTTAAGGATCACCACATCCACATTCCAAATCATAGTTGACTGACAATTGTTCTTTGCAAGTTTTTTTTTTTTTTTTTTTTTTTTTTGAAACCTTACACCTTATGAATAAGATTTCGGTATGTGTGGAATGTATTTGTCAACTTAGTAATGGTGGAAAGGATTAATTAATGAACTATGAAATAGGCATAAGTTTTCTTTATTTCTTTACAATAAAATATATTACAATATGTGCATGTACAGTATTCATTGTTCAATAATAAAGAAGAGCTTAACCTGAAAAAATGACTAAAATAACAGAAAAAAAAGCTTTACATCCAATACATCGATTAATGATATACAGTCCTAAAAAATAAACAAATACAAACATAAAACACTATCCATCAATAAGCTACATATTTATATGCACATAAACATTCAGCAATACATGAAAGTAACTTAATAATAGTTAATAATAGGCCCCTATCCTCTTCCTGTGCGAGGAGATACTTGGTAGATGAAAGCAGAGCTTTGATGTAGGTTCCACAAATGAGGTCATCCTCGAGACCGCAAAGTGCGGCTATGAATGGTGCTTTTGTAGACAGTGATCCTATAGCCACACAATAGGCCAGGATGGTCAACATTTTTTCTACGACAGATTCCTAAAATATGTGGTCATCTTTCAGATAGGACGCCATGCGGGGATAATTGAAGTAGTCCAGATTTACTAAACGGTGGATTTTGAACAGTGCATCGTAGTCTTCCTTCAATAATGCTTTTAACACCGCTGCAGTAGTAGCCGAATTCTGAATACCACATCTACTCGCTATGTTTTTTTCTCGTTGAAGAGGTGTTAGTGAATCTTGATGGCGGGTGTACCGCGAGATCCAGCGCAGTCCATTTAATTGCAGTACAGTCAACTGCCCTCCATAAAATTTATCTAGTTCCTCTTTATACATATCTACAAAATAAAACTTTATTAGAAATCTTAAAAAATCATGAAATATAACATATAACAAATCAGCATTTTGAGTAGAAACTGTAATTAAAATATTAACAATTAGAAATATTATTACTTTTTTGATAAAATACTTTAACATGTAAAGAAACAGACTGGTGCAATTTTAGGACATTAATTGAAAATGTTTAATGCCAGTAATATAAAAACATTCGACATAAGGACACCTGAAGAATTGGACAATGTAGTGCAACTTTTAACGCATACTGTAATAATGCTGTGTGGGGTTCTTCTATCTCTTATAATAGAACAGAGCACTATCATACTTAACAAGAGCCAATACAAAGAGCCACAGAACCAAACCAAAGAGCACGAACACAATGGACTCGTTATCCTAGAAACACAAATTTCAATCAAACTTATCATGGAACGTACCTAAATATTTAATTTATGTATGACCACACTGGCATTTACCCTCTACTTATAATTAGTTTTAAAGGGACAACAGTCCCAGAATAACAAAAAATATTTTGATTTCAAAATTTAACAAATTAACGAAAACATTACACGATGCTATAATGAATGGGCAGTACTTAAAAGGTTGAGTATATCAATATTAAGAATTATTATTGCAAAATCAAAGAAAACCATACGCATAGAAAACATTATTACAATGAGACGCAGAATTAGGCAACATTTTTGATTATGATGATATTGAAATTATATAAAAAAAAAAAAAAATACAGATAGACATTTTCAGAAGCTATCACCATTACAAACAATTTAAATAATCCCAAACATTTCAAATCCTGACTCAAAAAACAAATCATATGCCGAATTATGAAATTAACTATAAAATAAATATCTATGATAATATTAATGTAATGATATTAATTTTTAGTATGTTAAAATTTTATCTAACAGAGTTCAGAAAATTTCTCCCATTTACAACACATTTGTTAATAAGACAGGCAAGGGAAATGTGCATATCGTGAAATTAAAAAAAAAATTGCAAATACAATATGTTTAACGGTTTATCCACACATTCATATAAAACAAGCTACGTAGAAATTGATAAACTTTTCCATTTTATATTCTTAATTTCAAAGTGTTTTTTAAATGATAAATAAATAAATTTGGCTTAAAATGTTAATGAATTAAAATGAAAATATAAAAAAACAACATGATAATATATATATATATATATATATATATATATATATATATATATATATCGTAAATGAATATTAATGTTATTAGTCTATTACTATTAACTAAGAAAATATTTTTTAGAAAATGTACATAGTAAAAAAGTTTTCCCTGTTTTGGAATGAAAAAAAAGACATCTACGAAAACTCCATGAATGACAGAGAGAAAATCACTTCATGTCTAGATGATAGATGAAAGATCCCAACTTTTATTTAATATAGTAAAAAAAAAAAGAGATAACAAAATAATAATGAAAAAATATGAATAATACTTACTTTATTACGTAAAATAATGATGAACAGAGAATATAACTTCTTCTGGATCAAGTTCTGGACCAAGAGGGAAGTCTTGAGGCGATCACAAGTCAAAAGTAAGAGCTCAACTAAATTTTTCGACCAGGGCTGGAACCTTTTGTACCTCAAGGTACCCAGGACAGGTCCGTCATATCCCCACTCTAATTGTGCCTGAATTATTTCCCGTTTTATTGACAATCATTAGAATTCCCATTTACATCTATTTCTTAGGTTAATATTTATAAAAAGAATAAACATGGGTTTTTTATACCTTTATATACAATATAGCTTTTAGTTTTTTGACTATCGTGTTGTTTTAAAAAGGTTTTCCATTCATCACCATTTTTCATCATATCTCCGTTTCTTTTATTACAAAAAACAACATACAGTATTGTATCTTGACGTTTAAAAAGTTTTAATTTGAGGATCTAAAATTAATGACGAAATCAATTTTCTTTTCTCCAAAATATTACCTAAATATGGAGATGAATGTATGTTTTTCATTCATCCAAACACCTTCTATTAAATTACTATCTTAATATATAATACGGTGTTTTTTTTTTCTAGTGTAGATCGCTTTCCCGGTTCTCAGGAACGGAGGATTTCGATTAAATAGATTATTTCATGGAGAAGTAAAGAAATATAGTCACATCCTTCCGATGTTTCAGGAAAAAAATTTATAAATCAAAATAAACATTATCCGCGAATAATGAAAATTTTTTTACCCGATTATTTAAAAAAGTATTAAATTCCAAACAAAAAACGAAACAAAACTATCTACATTGTGTGTTTTGAAGCACACAATCGAAGTGAATATATCAACAGAGGTGTAGGTACATTTACAATATACACAATTTTAATTGCTTTTAATTGTTTTTGTAATTGTTCAATTGTGGAGAAGGATGATTTGGATGATCTATAGTGTTTGATATATATATATATGTGTATTTTTTTTTTTTGGTGCATTTCTCCTTTCCGACTCTCTAACTCCCAAAATACGATTTTGATTTAAGTGAAAATTTCAGCTGCTTACTGTATGCAGTCCGATTTTTAGTTCTTGAGATATTTTATTCATTATGCAAAAATACTTCCATTATTCGAATCGAGCCGATTTTACCCGAATAGCGTTACGGCTCAATCTCATTCACTACCAACAATAAATAAGCAAACAGCGCCATAAGAACTTTTTAATCGAAAAAAATCATCTAAATTTGACAAATATTAGTAAGGATACAGCCTATAGTTATGTACACATGTTTTGTTCATTATTACGAATGAACTAATTTTATTAGACTGAGAATTTATTTATATAATTGTCAATTGTTCACTGACCAACATACCATTTAATATTGAGAATTATTCGCAGAAGCCAATAAGTAGTTATATATCATACTATTCTACAGCAGAGATGGAGATAATTTATTGAACGTAATGATGCCCTACTACATAGGGTCGCTTTATACACAGGATACTAATCGGTCCTTATTGACATAACTTTTATATAAGATTCTTTAATTATTATACATATATTTTTTTTGTCGAAAGCCATTTGGTATTATGGTTGTTTTCAGACATTTCTATATCTCAGTTTTAGATTTTAAACAATTAAAATATTTGTATTTATAATATTTTTGACAATAAATAAATCCATAGAAAAATCAAATTGGAGAAATAGGTCTGATGTTCTTAGGGCATCTTGAATCATACAAATATTTAAAATATAGAAAGATTATCGAGGTATGGCTTCTATAGCCTTAATAATAGACTACTTTGCGAACTAAATGAGCGAACTACAAAGGAAAGCTCTCCTAAACCGTAACAGTAATTTTCGAAGGAGCGAAATAACAGGTTAATATCTGTTCAGGGATAGCTATGATAAAGTCGATTGGATTCCACCAACTGAATTTTTTTCATATGGATTAAAATATGAAAAAATAACAATCGGACCGGCATATTGTTCGCAAAGGAAATGTTCATCATTTCAACTTCTTTGTAATGAGCTATTATTGAAAATTGTATCTTAAATATAGACTCTGTGTTATAGAGGGGGACATGGAAAATATAGTGTCAAAAACAAAGTTATAACTAAATAAGTTAGTAGAAATCCAACTCATACACTACCTGCTGTAGATGGAAAACATTCCTAGGGATCCTAAAATTCTTACCGACTTTATTGAAGTTCGGTACACGACGCCCTAGTAAATGTAGGACTGCACCAAGTGTACCTACCTGCATTTACCACCCTCCGTGTACTGACCTGCAATAAATGAGTCATCGTATTTAAAAATATTTTTTTCATCTACTTCAGGTTGTGTTTCTTTTCTATTTCTCAGGTTCACTTTTATATATATATATATATATATATATATATATATTATAATACTGTAGATTAGTAACTACATAGTTGTCCCGTGTGAATTATTCACAATATTAAATAGTATATTGGTCAGTAAAAAATTGAGAGAGAGAAACACTTTATTTTCATAAAATATAAAATATAAAGGATTGCTGCCCAATTACATTGGGTTGCTATACACACAGCATACTCTTCTATCCTTAAGACAATATATGAACTTATATATAAATATACAGAAGTATTAGTTAATATTAGTAAAACAGAAATATATATATATATATACATTTTTATTATTTTATTTATCCTTATAATTTTTTTTTTTTTTTCCTTTTTCCCTCTTCTCATTGTTCATGCTTTTTTTTTTTTTTTTTTTTTTTTTTTATTTAACATTAAGTTTCCCTTTCTCTCACTTCTCTCTCTTTATCGCTATTGTTTTCAATTATTCACTAAAAAAATAAATAAACAAATACATAAATTAAAACTCTCGGGCTAGCCATGCACGTGGTGGTGAATGATTCCCAGGGAGTCGAGGACTATATTTTCAGCCAACCTCGCTACGTCCTTAATGTCGACACCTAGTTCCTCGAGGAAGCTCCTTGTTCTTTTTGGGATAGTTCCGCGAGACCCAAACCAGAGGCCTCTCACGGTGAACTCTCTCTCTCCGAAGGTCTCACGGAATTTCTCTTTTAGGAAAGGGATACATTTATCGTACGTGTTCTTCTTTTCCCTTTCCACTTCACCCGCCTGATCGAGGTCATTGCTCTCAAAGCGGACAGTTGGATCCAAGATCAGCGCTGTCCTTCCTGTCTTGGGAAATGCGACGATATCAGCGTATCTCGTAGAGCCCTCACTATCGATGCAATATACCTCGTCAAAGCAGGTGAATTTTTTTTCCCTAAGGAGCCTCATCAATTCGAACTTGACCCGGTGGTGACGACGTGTTATGAGGAGGGAGTTGTTGGGGCATTTTCCCAGCACATGTACAGAAATGAGTTATTTTACGGTATTATCAGATAAAAGAAATAACATTCTTTTTCGGAGTTGAATCACATTATTCATAATAATAAGCAAAACGTGTGTACATTAGTATACTCTATCAATTGGCCAATTTTGATATATATATATATATATATTTTTTTTTTTAATGAAAACTTCTTTAGGAGTGCTTTGCACATTTTTTGTGGATAGTGAATGAGATTGAGCCGTTATGCACGGATGTGTAACGCCCATTCTGATGAAGTCGCAGAGTGGTTGGAAATCGAAAATTCGTTTTAATACCTTATCAGGACTCTTGTCACAATAACAAATATGAGGTCTATGTATGAATATGAGACCTATGGTCGGCTGCGGTTAAAATGTCTGGATCAACATATTTTTTTTCTAACTTATTTTATTATTTTTTCATAATAATAATATGGACTACAAAATACGAATAAATTAATTATTTTTTCACGCAGAGTGTATCGTGGGGGATAGCCGTTCAAAAGAAAATCATAATACACATGCAAAATGTGAATGGTTATAATAATAGTAATGTTGGACAATGACGATAGGAAATCAAACATTATTTCATGGTCGGATTTTAAGGTCTCTTAACAACGTTAAATATGGATATTTTAGCGATTAAATAAGTGAAATGACTTAGGCAACTAATCTTTATTTCATTGACGTTAAAAAAATTATTTTTCCATTACCTTAATAAAATATTTGTTTTCCTGCTTTTCACCCAGGGTGAGTCGACTAATAGAAATTTTTTTTCATACGGATTAAAATATCTCAAAAACTAAAAAAAGGATCCTGCATACTAAGCGAGGGAAATATTCCGCGTTTCATTGTCTTTGTAATGAGCTATTATTCAAAAAAGTATCTTAACGGGACGCCCTATTAAATAGGCAAAATGAAAAACATAGTGCCGAAAACCTATACCAATATCATTTTTAAGAAGAAAGACATGAAGTACAACAATTGGTTTCAGACAGATAACAATTTAAAATAGTCTGAAGAAAATGAGGCTCTCACAGGTAAAGTGAACTGAGTCAAAAAGTTAAAAAAAAATTTTAGTTGTGGATATTTTATGATCCAAAATGACCCTACTTCCTGCTGTTGCCATTTTCGAATAAAGGGCAACAGTTTTTTTCAGACCCTATAAATTTTATGAGTTTTTTGGGCCAAAGTGGATCCACCTTATGCCACCTTCATTCTTTCTTTTGAATTTTCAAACAACTACCTAAATTATAACTTAGAATTTACAAGGAAATTGTTCTTTCAAACAAAATAATTTTATCAATAAATTTAAATCTTTATAATCACGAAATAAATTTTAGGGACTTATTAAAAAAGAAGTTCTTATCTGTTCTGATCCAATTTCACTATTTTATGTTTATTGAAAAATATTATATTATTTATTTGAGACAGTTACGGTAGATTCCGTTAAGAGTCCTTGTCGGCAATTATTGCTCTAAGTCCCTTTTCGTCATACCTGCTGAAAAGATTTCAAGATTTTATTATGCCATATATTAAGTCGTGACACCTGCAGGTATAGTAGGATCCTTGTTCCACGGCAACCTAGGACTGGAACTCTCTAAAATCTGGAACTCTCTGAAACTCTCTACATTACATTTTTTTTTTTTTTTTTTTTTCATATCCCCAAAGAACAGTGTTTGGGATTTTCATACGTTCCTATATCGGATGGAGTTCCTTGTACTGCAATATTCGCATGCATGTTAAGGGAGTTATGAGAAGTTTATGGTTTTAAAAATTGAGTCACACTGTGCTGAGTTTTCATGAAAACTGGATCCAAACGATGACGTTATTAAAGAAAGAAGAAACTTTGATTATTGGTGGCCTACTTGTAGGACCGCCAAATGTGACCATTATTATTTTTGAAAGATTGAGAATAACATTTATTTGAACATGAATTTGAATGTTTTTAGCATTTTTGTTTTATACTCTTATACATTTGTACATTCTAGATATGAAAACATACTCATTTATATGTACTAACCATAGAGTTTATTAACCTTTGTACCTCTTTTCGGGAAAGTTTTTTATATATGGCGCAGCCGTTTTGGTGAAAAACTATTTAGTGGCACACATTTCTGGGCTACCATTTCGTAAGTAATGAAAACTATAAAAAAAACTAGATAGCTATATATACAAGTTATCATACATTTCGTGATTTGCGAATTATCTCAAAAACTAAAAAGGGGTCCTGTACATTGTAAGTGTGGGAAATGTTGAGCATTTCATCGTTTTTATAATGAACTATTATTCAAAAAAGAGACTAATAGGCCCATTTCTAACATTGAACGCGTCCCATCCGTCCCATGGAGATATTTTAGGATCCAAAATGATCTCAGTTCCTGCTGTTGCCATTTTCAAATAGAGAGCAACAGTTTTTTTCAGCCTCTATAAATTTTTATAAGATTTTTGGGCAAAAGTGGATCAAGCCACTTTAATTATTACTTTTGAATTAATAACAATTAATCTACATGAATGAATAAAATACGTAATCGTCCGAAAATCAAATATTTAACCCCCTCCCTATCTCAAGTTTGAGGTTTTAAGTTTCAAGATACGTAAAATTCGAAAATCGAATAAAAAACCTTGTTTGTCTGCAGTTAAGGTTAAGGAATTTCTTTAAAAATAAAAATAAAATCGTTGAAATTAGCAATTTGGTGAAAAGATATGGGGTTCTAAATATTTTTCATATGCTCTACTGTAAAGCTTATATCCTTGGATTTGATTTTTTAGATGTTTTACTTCAACTAAATTAATGTTGTCTATTTTTCTTAACAAATTGTCAATGATGAAAAAAAATATATAGGCCAATATTAGAAAGCACTTGTTATTTATTTTCCTTTGTGTTCCTTGGCAAATAAAGTTAAGTATGATGTAACACTGTTTTGCAATAATAGACCATTGTGTAATAATTCCCAGTCGATTAAAACGGGTAAATGATTGTAATTGAAAAATGATTGGAATTTCATCATTAGAGAATTATTTGAGATAACACGTATTTAATATAAATACGGACATGCGGTTTTATAATACAAAAAAATGCAATTGTTGATAGTTTACGCTATCAAAGTCAACTATTAATGCTTTTCAGGACGAAAGCAACATACAGTATATTTTTTGCTGACTGGCAGTCTATTCTACAATGGGGAAGATAATGCTGTTGGAAGTTCTGCGCATGCGTTAGCCTAAGTTAAACATACGTCAGGTCGTCTCTTACAAAATTCTTCATTAATAGTGGCAGTGTTCTACTTCAATGCGAAACAACAGTGTTACCTGTTATATTAACAATTAAGATTGTTACTGAACAAAAGAATAAGGTGAGTAATCACTTATTTACAGCTCAATAGTGAACAGTGTAAATAGACCTCTGGTTAGTTACTGATAACGGCCGGCCATAACATCGCTAATCCCACCAGTGGGCTCTGGCTCTCCGTTATATCTATTAAAAAAAGAACAAGACGTTCGAAAAGAAATACTCCATCAGCCACACAAGGGAGCTCTGTTGAAGAAGTGGATCCCCAACCTGGTACCTCACAACAACAAAACAATCATGAGACAACTCAGACTGGTGAAGAATCGCCGTTTTTCACTCAGAACCCATTTCAAGTGCTATCAAATACACAAAACGAAGAAATGGAAGCAGCACCCACCCCCAGGGAACCCAAACCCCCACCAATATTCCTTAGAAATATTAAAAACTTTCAGTTAATGTGTCACCAATTGAATAACCTAGTGGGCTCAGGAAAATATTTATGCCAAAGCCGCACCAATGACACTAAATTAATGCCCGACACTCCAGAAACATACAGAAAAATTATAAAATATTTATCTGACACCAAGGCTGATTACCACACGTATC